ACAGGTAGTAGGAGCTTCACAGGCAGTAGGGCAGGCAGGAATTACTTCACAGGTAGTAGGAGCTTCACAGGCAGTAGGGCAGGCAGGAATTACTTCACAGGTAGTAGGAGCTTCACAGGCTTCTACCTTTTTTTGGGTCTCCAGGCAGCACACCCCAGGAGGGGTGGAGGACATAAAAAGTATGTTAGCCAAAGTAGACAAGACTAGAGGCAGTGAAAACAGTTTCAAGCTTTCTCACCTGTATTATTTCACATCTTAGCTCTCTTGAACAAGTTGGGTGTTTCTGTGACTTGTTTAGTGGTGGACGGACGATTCGCGTTTCTGGGCACAACTTGGACGTGGTGCAGGAGCCCCAGATTCGAGTAACCCTGTCTCCACTGGAACCGCTTGAATCGAAGAGGAAGAGGAGGAGGAGAAGCATAGCACACGTGGCTGGGAAGTGGGACAGGCCACTGCAGAGGCGCAGTCGGATTGTGCCCGAGGCAGAGTGCGACCCTCTAAATGGCGTGTGCTCGGACAGACATGTGAGTCCAATCAGTACCCTGGGTTAGGGCCTACAGGAGCTTAGAGGGGGACTGTCAGCTCCGGCTTTGTGGCGCAATGACATATAACTGATTAATAAAGAGTATACCTCAAGTAACAAGAGGAGCTTAAATCCGAAGCTCCACTTGTTAAAATAAAAGTGTTGGCACAATAAGGCACCCAGACTAACATCCTGCTTGCTAAACTGCCGACACGACAGGGGGAGAAAAAAAAAAAAAGAGGGGGACTGAGCACCACTCGTGCGTGTTTATATATACAGTGTGCAGCCTGCCTCTGTATCGTGTTACTGCCCATGTTCTGATGCATCATTTAGTGCAAAGAAAGTGTTGCCAATTGTGCCACTGAATACTTAAGTGTTTGGTCACATGCTACTTGAATGCTGCCCACTGCCCCATTCCCCTCACCCTCTCCCCCTTACCCACCTGTGTTGCACCCATGTCCTACAGTTCGTGGAGCTGTGCCAGGTGAACAGCAGCTCCCTGATCCTATGTAGCACGCCTCTGGTGGAGGGCTGGACGGTGGGGGCCCGCATCAAGGTGGAGTTTCTGCTGGACAATCTGCGCTTCGACTTTGACGACGTCAGCCCCAACGCCTTCAGCTACGAGCACAACCCCATCCTGTACCAGCTGAACTCGAACGAGCACGGCATGCCGTACCGCTACAAGCCTGGGAGCATCATCTCTGTGGAGGTCAGCGGCATGGCGGCCCCGGCCCTCATTACCTCACTTAGCAGTTAGCGCCTAAGTCTAAAACACAGAATCGCTTCAATCTTTCGATTACTTGGTCATATTTGTCTATCTCTGGTACTTGTTTGCCGTTCTCAATCCCATGGGCGCCCCTCTTCCAGGGAGAGAACACACAAAGACGTACACGCGCACACAAAGACGTACACGCGCACACACAGACGTACACGCGCACACACAGACGTACACGCGCACACACAGACGTACACGCGCACACACAGACGTACACGCGCACACAAAGACGTACACGCGCACACACAGACGTACACCTTTTTATTAAGGGTTGAGGAGCCACCATCGTTTCAGCACTCTCGAACCTCTCTGCGTATTTTTAGACTGTCCTGTCTATCACGATTACTTCTGATGCTACTTAGCAAGGTGTTTTTCATAATGTGTCACCAAGAACAGTTTGTTTTTTTTGTCACAAATACATTTGATGCACACTGTGTAGTGTGTGTATGTATGTATGTATGTATGTATGTATATATGTGTGTGTGTGTGTGTGTGTGTGTGTGTGTGTAGGGGGGGGGTATTAGACAGCATTAGACACTGACAGCATTAAACTCTCACATACCTCCAGGGGGAGAACCTCGACCTCGCCATCTTCAAGGAGGAGGTTGTGGCCATGATTGGGGAGGGGGTGTGTTCTGTGAAGACCCTGACCCGGAACCACCTGTACTGTGAGCCCCCATCCCAGCAGCCGCTGCCGGCACCCGGAAAGAAACGGGAGGGGATGGACTCCCTCCCAGAATTCACAGTAAGCCCCCCCCTCTCCCCTCCCCTCCCAAGCGCTGACCAGGAGTAATGCTTACGGTGTGGTGGTTTAGGCTGAAGTGAGCTGCATTTTAACAGTAAACAGGATATGGATAGTAAGCGTGTTCAGTATGGTACTTTGCGCCATACAGGTCCAAATGGGGAATCTGAACTTCTCCCTGGGTAGAGTGCAGTATGACTCTCTGAGCCAGTCCACGTTTCCTCTGGAGGCGCAGATCGGAGTTGGCGTAGGGGCCTCCATCGTAGCCCTCATCGTGTTCATCATCGTCCTCATATACAGGTGAAATATGCTGCCCAGCAGTGCGGATGAAGTCCCCGTTTGGACACATGGAATAACGTAGAGAGTGAATATGTCAGTGACGGCTGTTCAGAACTTGGGGGTGATGGATGTTCTGGGTGCTGGCAATGTGACAGGAGGAAGAGCAAGCAGGCCTTGAGGGACTATAAGAAGGTCCAGATACAGCTGGAGAACCTGGAGACTAGTGTGAGAGACCGCTGCAAGAAGGAGTTCACAGGTACAGTGATGGGCTCCTGGAAGAAACATTTAATTTCTCTCTGCATATCATTGTGAAACTGTATTTTTCATTAACTGGGGTATCCGGCGGCATACCATTTCAAAGATGCTCCAAATCCTGAATGTTGATCTTTCGTTTTTCCTAAAATTGTGTAGACCTGATGACAGAGATGATGGACATGTCCAGTGACCTGGTGGGCTCCGGCATCCCCTTCTTGGACTATCGCATGTACGCTGAGCGCATCTTCTTCCCTGGCCACCGGGAGTCGCCGTTGCGCCGTGACCTGGACGTGCAGGAGTGTCGGCGTCAGACCGTGGAGCAGGGTCTGGTGCAGCTGTCTAACCTACTCAACAGCAAGCTCTTCCTCACCAAGGTAAAAACTAATCTTCCTCACAAATGAGATTAATCCTTCCACTTATCTCTTATTTTGGCATTTTTTTTTAAACCAGAGCCCATGTCTGCTAATAAAGATAAATGTTTAAGACATCTATCAGAAGGTCTTGAAGCACCGCACTGTAACACTATGTACTGCTTCTGTAGTTCATTCACACTCTGGAGAGCCAGCGGACCTTCTCTCCACGAGACAGGGCCTACGTGGCCTCCCTGCTCACCGTCGCCCTCCATGGTAAGCTGGAGTACTTCACCGACATCCTCAAGACCCTGCTCAATGACCTGGTGGAGCAGTATGTGGCCAAGAATCCAAAACTCATGCTTCGGAGGTAAGAAGAAACTCCTCCATGAGGAAACCTTATGCAGATGGTGGCATGACCTACATTTAATTCTAAAGAGGGAGGCCCATCTGGTCGTGTCTGACTGCTGTGGTTTCTCATGGTTGGCACCTGATTGAATCGGTATTTATGCAGCTTGAAGGTGACATTTCATTGTCTGTCTGCTTCTCTTTGTTGAGGACTGAGACAGTGGTGGAGAAACTGCTCACCAACTGGATGTCCATCTGCCTGTATGCCTTCCTACGGGTAAGTCTGAACTGGGAATATCTGGAGCGTCAGCCTCATCAAATGTTACCCCGGTCACATGGCAGTTTGTCACTTCGATTCTTCGGACAGGACTCTGCGGGGGAACCTCTGTACATGCTTTTCCGGGCTATAAAGCACCAAGTGGACAAGGGTCCAGTGGACACCGTGACGGGCAAAGCCAAGTACACCCTGAACGACAACCGGCTGCTGCGGGAGGACATAGAGTACCACACCCTGGTATAACTGTTGTGTCCCCTCCTGGCCCCCGGGCATGTGGGGGGAGGCCTTGTGTATGACCTGTTCTTTCATCTTTGCCTGAGTCTCTTCCTGCGCCTTCTTACCAGACGGTAAACGTGCTGATGCAAGGGGGGGGCAGCGCCACCGAATCGCAGCCGGTCGCTGCCAAGGTACTGGACTGTGACACCATCACACAGGTGAAGGAGAAGATCCTGGACCAGGTGTACAAGGGCACCTCGTTCTCCCACCGGCCACACGCAGACTCCCTGGACCTGGGTAAGCCCTGGGAGGGCGTGGGGGGGGGCGCAGGGGGGTGAAACCATGCATGTTTATCAGCATCATCTTTCAGTTCCAAGCCTTTGTTTTCAGCCGTGTTGTTTAGTGCCGTCTTTTCGCTGCTTCAGAGTGGCGGTCAGGCGTTGCTGGTCACCTTATCCTCTCGGATGAAGACCTGACATCTGTCTGCCAGGGAAACTGGAAGCGACTGAACACCCTGCAGCACTACAAGGTGGGCCTGAACAGTGCCTTCAGATGTGCCTTCATCTCTGGCTATTTCGTGCTAGAGGGGGATACAACTCCTATCTTCTTGAACCCAAATGACTATACTGTAATATAAAGAACTGCTAATATTCGGATGCTGAGATGCATACATGTAGATTTAGCAAATATCTCCGTCCAGATATATGGGTCAGGTTCAGTGGATGTTTCCTTTGGGCCCCCAGGTTCCTGATGGTGCCACAGTAGCGCTGGTCCCCCGCCACAGCAAGCAGATCCACCATGATAACCATGACTACATGGCCGGAGAGAGTGAGTCATTTCTGTAGGAAGTGCAGTAGAACTTCAAATCCGCCGAGTGACCGGTGTGCTTCTGATCAG